GTGGGAGCTAGCATCCTTTCTCTCTGCAGGGAGGGTCTCTATTGTCCCTGTCTGTCCTCTAACCACCCTGTCAGAAGCCTCAGCCACACAATGCCTCAGCACTTCCCCCACTGACATTCAGTTTTGCTAGCAAATGATTAGTGTTCTTGAAGATCTGGGTATTGTCATGATGAATATTTTGTTTTTAAATTACCCTGTATTTTATGTGGCATTCACTGTATGCTACCACTCCTTTCCCTCCCTCTCCCCTTTCCTCTAAATAATCTTTTCTTCACATTTACAGGAAAGCCAATAGAGATCTAAAAAGAAGCTAATTGCGCTTGAATCTATATTGACTAATGTCTACTAATGCTAGCTAATAAAAAAAAAATTCTCCAAGAATATTATGAACCCCTTCCCTCCCCCACACAGTTTCTCAAGAATTAAAAGAAAAAGAATAATGAACGATAACAATGACAGCTATAAGAGTGGGCTGATGCTCTGAAGGGCAGCTGAGTCTCACACCAAAGAAAGTCTCATGAGCTCAATGTACAAACACTAAGAAAAAGGCTTTTTTCTCTGCTGCTTTCAGAAGCTGTCCAATTGTTTCCCTTCCCTTATGAGCACCGAGTTATAAAAAGAAAATGTGTACTTTTCTCTAGCAAGCCCAATCTAACTTGCCCTGTTTCCAAAGTGAACTAGGTTGAAGATGAAGTTTTCTATCTCTAGGTCATGCCTATGTGCCATGTCCTATGATCGGGAGCTTCATGCTGTATTATACACATTCAAATCTGGCCTTTTAGACTTCTTTCCTGACCCTATTCTCCAACCTTCACCAGCCCCAGCTCCAGACTGCCTCCCATTCCTCCAATTTGTAGGGATAATGAGAATTCTCCCTAATCCACAATCATATAAGAAATATACAAGAGGCATAATCCCTGTGGCTGGGGCACTTTCAGAAAGAGCCTGGCACAGGCTGCCCAGCTGCAATCATGCTCTCTCTTTTCTTGTCATGCAACCTGAATCACATTAATATGCTTAATTTCTTTTGTGAATCCTTTTCTTGCTTGGAAAGGGAGGAGAAAGTGTCCTGGGAAGACTCTTGGGAGTTGTTATATATCCTTAAGTTTTATGAGGAAGGAGAGCCACTATGAACTGCTAGGTTGCAAATCATTTAATAAACATACAAGTAAATCAAGCCAATTGGACTTGCTTTTGAAATTAACTGAATTGCCCTCTTAGAAACCAAGAATGGGATGGGTGGTGTGAGGTGGCAAATTGGGGTATGAAGGCAACCCAAAGAGGAAAGGGAGTTGGTGTGTGGTACTAGCCTGGCAAGGGAATGAAAACCTGTGTTGCCTTGCTGGGGATGGGTGTGTGGATTTGCTAAAATTACATTTCCTCCACTTGTAAATCAGGCTCCACTCCAGGGGACCATTTAGCTTCCCCAACCTGGTAGTGTTGGGGTAGCTATTATTATATTAAAACCATAGTTGTAGAGGGGATGGGGTAAATCAGATCCGAGGACCCAGCAGTGGACTTCAAGATCAATGTGAGAATACCAGCTGTATATATGGTCCAGCCATGCAGGAGAGCAGTTTATTAGTGGTAATATTGAGTTTAAGACAAAATTCAGTCCATGAAAAATAAGTTACCAACTATTTGCAACAGTAGCTTCACATGGACTTAATTTTCTCCCATGTCCAGATGGGGTCGGCTATTGAATGAGGCTCTTTTATTTTGTATGGGGCAGGGGATTTGTGACCATGGTCCCCCCTTTTATTCCTCTCTCTATGGAAACCCAGATCATGGGGAGAAATATGCGAAGCTGAATAAAGAGAAGCCGCAGAAAGGAACGCTTGAGAGCAGCATCTGTTACACTTGGGAAGTTAGACTGACAGGAAAGGGCCAAGGAAACCTCTCCAGTAGATCAGTTAGAACAGCAAGAAGATTTGACTATATTCGGATATTTTACTAAAAAACAAAACACTTTACTTGCAAGAGAAGATTCTTATCACAGTTGCTCCAGGATGTGCTTGCACCTGAATCTAATAGGTGTACTCTATATTTATGGGAAGTAATTTTTAAAACAAATAGAAAGAGGACAGAGATAAGAATGAGAGGGAGGGAATAGGGAAGAAGGGATAAAAGGAAAGGAAAGGAAAGGAAAGGAAAGGAAAGGAAAGGAAAGGAAAGGAAAGGAAAGGAAAGGAAAGGAAAGGAAAGGAAAGGAAAGGAAAGGAAAATGACTGCGGTTGGGTTTTGCTGCTGACAGAAGGTATTCTTACATTAAAAGACTGCAAAACAAGGGTTTAAAAAACTTGTCCCTGGGCACAGATGCCTCCTTCTCTGTAATCCCCCACCTGCCCCACACAAGCCTGGGAACAAATTGTCTGAACCTTTTTTGTGTGTCTGGCCAAACCAGTTGCCCAGAGCAGAGGCCAAGGGCAAGAAGGTTGATTGTAAAGAACTCTGCCAAATCAGACTGGGAAAAGGACCCCTTCTTTTTCACGCAAAAGCCTTATCAATTGATAATTGCCTTAATGCCCTGAATGGTCAGACTAAGATTAGCAACTCTTTCACCCAAAGGCAGCTGCAAGGTGGGGGTGGGGAACCCACCGCCACAGCCAACAACAACCAACGTGGCAATGATCATGATCTTTTCCTAGTATGGTTTCTTCACTGTGCTTCCTTCTGACCCCTAAAGTGACCTGACACAGACTGGCAAATGGATCCTTGAACAGACAGACTAACAGAACACCTGAAAACTTGTATTTTGTTTGATTTTTAACAGGTTTTTTTCTTCTTCAGGAAACAAGAGTTCAAGCACAAATGAGGCTGTGTTCTTGCAAAGGAAGATACACACAGTTGGCGGTAAAGAAATGACCTTCCTTGACAAGAGAGAGAGAGAGAGAGAGAGAGAGAGAGAGAGAGAGAGAGAGAGAGAGAGAGATAGTTAGTTCTAGGTTAAAAGCAGATAAACCTTTACAATAGAACACCAGCAAATAAAAGCACAATTTTAGTGAGGGATGAGGAGGGAATAAGATGGTAAATGATCAATCCTATCTGCCAATAATTATTAAGTGTTTGTCCTTTTTAAAAGAAAGAGTAAAAGAAACAAATACATCTCAACCAGATTTTCCTGCCTAATAGACAATTTTACATTTACCAACATAAACTCCTATTGCTCTGTGCTCTCATAAGTAATTACTTATTTCACAGGAAATAGATCTCTTTAGCTATATAAAGGAATGGCAGAATAAGCTCACCTTGTTTTTATTTTTCTCATTTTCTTGCATTTTCTTCAGATCTGTCTTCTTAGGGAAACTAATGCCTTAATGACTTTCCAGTAGCTGCAAGCCTTCTTTTATTTCTGCTAAATATATGAAAATGTATGCAAATTTAAATCAAGTTTAACCTAGGAGCTCTTGCAATATATTTAATGGAATTTCAAACCAATAAGGGAACTCTAATGCTGTCTTCTGTAAATGCAAATATAATTATGCAGCTAGAGTACCTCCAAAATTATGCAAGGAAAGGTCATTTTTTTTTTTTTAACTTCAGAGATCGCATTGTGTATCCAGTGTTTCCTTATCCTGGCTAAAGCAAATCTTTGTATTTCACCCCACTCTGCTTACAAGCAAAACCGTTGTGTGGTCTCTGGAGCACTCGGACTTATCCTTCCCTAACTTCTAAAAGATTAGGAGGGGTACAAATCTTTCTCCCTTTCCTTTAACCAAAATTTAAAAGTCTCGTTCTTTCAAGCTGAACAAATGCAAGCTTGATGAGGATGATGGGGGTAGTGGTACTTAATGCCAATCTCTCTCTCCCTCTCCCTCCCTTTCCCTTTCCTTCTCCCTTCCCCTTTTCCTTTCCCTCTCCCTCTCCCTCCCTTTCCCTCTCCTCCCTTTCCCTTTCCCTCTCCCTCTCCCTCTCTAGAGTACATTAAACTACTCTTATTTACTTCAACTGATCAGCAATGGTAGTGGGGGAGAATAAATACATTAAATTTTTCCCCCCAAAGGACAGAATTGGGGGCTGGGCAGCGGAAACTTCTCCTGTGTGCCTATTGGGAGTTGGTCTGCTGAGAGTCTGGGGTGAGTGTGAGGAAGGGCTGCCAGCTTCCGCAAGCATTGCCTCTGACAGAAGTTGCAGACCGCTGATGGGAGCTGACATAGAGCCATAATAAAAACCAAGTCTTCCAAGTGACCAACTGGATTGGAAGGCAAACTTCAAAATAACTGAATTTTGCCAGTATCACATTGGATTTTACTTTCCAGAATAGTCAAGTTCTTCATACCTTAAATTATTTTTTTTCCCAGAAGAAACTAGGCATCTCTTTCCTAGATGCTTTCTGACCTTAGTATTGTGTTTCTTATTAATATAAAGTAAATAAATAAGTCAAAACAACTCTTCCTGGAACCAATGACTTTAGTCTAGATTCCAGTTCCTATCAAAGAAGTTCCCTTGCCCAAAGTTTGTAGCCAGATTCTGTTTTGCAGTCCTCTACACACAACTAACCCAGAAAGTCAAACGAATTTGAGCAAAATCTTTATCCACTAAGATATAGATGACATTCAAGCGAGTGATGTTGTTTTCTTCATATTTTTTTCGTTCTCTATTTGGGTTCACCCAAATAATGTAAAAGCCAGTTTGCAGCCTCAGCCCCTATCAGCCTAAAAGCGCACACACAAACATACACATCCCTCTCATTTTTCCAGCTCCACTACAAACACCGGCGAAGTAGGTGGTGGAGGTGGTGGTGGCGGTGGTGGGTTAACCAACTAATCTGTTGCTGCCACTCAGCGCGAGGCAGCCAACCGATCAGAAAGATTTGATTCACTTCCTGCTTGGGTCTCACTGCGACTCTCAGAGCTTCGCCAGCTTCATTTGGAAAGCTAGCCCAGCCTCTCGCACACCCATTGGCCAAACGCACGCTGGCCAGACCGAGACGCACTGCGATTGGCCGCAGTGGGTGTCAGTAACTCTCTGGCTGCTTTGGCTCCCCCGCAGGATAGATGTCAAAGGCTGAAGCTGCTCCTTTTGCCACATTATAACTAGTAGGGGATCCTCACCGACCATGGCCACAGCTGCCTCGAATCCCTACAGCATTCTCAGTTCCAGCTCTCTGGTCCATGCTGACTCTGCGGGCATGCAGCAGGGGAGTCCTTTCCGAAATCCTCAGAAAGTTCTCCAAAGTGATTACTTGCAGGGAGTTCCTAGCAATGGGCATCCCCTCGGGCACCATTGGGTGACCAGTCTGAGCGACGGAGGCCCATGGTCCTCCACCCTGGCCACCAGCCCCCTGGACCAGCAGGACGTGAAACCCGGGCGCGAAGACCTGCAGCTGGGCGCGATCATCCATCACCGCTCGCCTCACGTCGCCCACCACTCTCCGCACACTAACCACCCCAATGCTTGGGGATCGACCCCGGCTTCCAACCCGTCCATCACGTCCAGCAGCCAACCCCTTAACGTGTACTCGCAGCCGGGCTTCACCGTGAGCGGCATGCTGGAGCACGGGGGGCTCACCCCACCGCCGGCTTCTGCCACCGCACAGAGCCTGCACCCAGTGCTCCGGGAGCCCCCAGACCATAGCGATCTAGGCTCTCACCACTGCCAGGACCACTCCGACGAGGAGACACCAACCTCGGATGAGTTGGAACAGTTCGCCAAACAGTTCAAACAAAGAAGAATCAAGTTGGGTTTCACGCAGGCCGACGTGGGGCTGGCGCTGGGCACCCTGTATGGCAACGTGTTCTCCCAGACCACCATCTGCAGGTTTGAGGCCTTGCAGCTGAGCTTCAAGAACATGTGCAAGCTGAAGCCACTGCTGAACAAGTGGCTGGAGGAGGCTGACTCGTCCACAGGGAGCCCGACCAGCATTGACAAGATCGCAGCGCAAGGCCGCAAGCGCAAGAAGCGAACCTCCATCGAGGTGAGTGTCAAAGGTGTTCTGGAGACGCATTTCCTCAAGTGTCCCAAGCCGGCCGCACAGGAGATCTCCTCGCTGGCAGACAGCCTCCAGTTGGAGAAAGAAGTGGTGCGTGTCTGGTTCTGTAATAGAAGACAGAAAGAGAAAAGAATGACTCCACCAGGGGATCAGCAGCCACATGAGGTTTATGCGCATACCGTGAAAACAGACACGTCCTGCCATGATCTCTGACTGCAGGAAGCCAGCAAGTGACCGGCCAAAGGAACTGGGGCAGCGCGGATTTCTCTTTCTCTCCTGACTCCCTTCCTTTCACTCCAGCTTCATAGTTGCTATCTTTGTATTCTCTCTCTCTCTCTCTCTCTCTCTCTCTCTCTCTCTCTCTCTCTCTCTCTCTCTCTCTCTCTCCCTCCCTCCCTCTTTTTCTTTTTATATTTTATTTCTTTATCCCTCACCCTTTCAACAGGGGATTCTAACTTATATTAAGGAAGGAAACACACTCATGCATTTCAGGCTTCTTAACGCTGATACACAGTTTCATTAAGCACTCCCAGCGGGATCCTCGAATCCCCTGCGGTCTGGCAACAGTTTTCTCTACAACCTTTTCTGCAGATCAATATATATTGTTTACTTTGAGTAAGGTTTGTTTGGTTGCTCCTCTCTAGGAAGAGCAAGGAGTGGGGAAACTTGGGGGCGGGTTAGGGATTGGGGGAGGGAGAGGGGAAGACAGAAGATGTGTGCCTCTAAATAACCTTTCAGCGCCTTGGTTATAGCAGCTGTATTTCAGGTGAAATCTGTTTTACAATAGACTAGTTTTGCATTTTTTAAGAAAAAACTTCTAATAGCCTTTTTAAATGTCTGCGGTGTTTTGCTACAAGCTGTACACAATATTTGTGAGATAATTTGTATCTAATCGACCACTCCACCTTATTATTGCTATTATTATTATTCCTTCGTTGAGCTAATGGTTTTTTAATTGCTTATAAAAGCGAGAGGAGGCTGGGAGGAGGAGGGGGAAAGATGTGCCTACCTTTCACTCATGGCCCCTCTCCCAAATCTGTAAGAAGAGGAAAGGGTACAATGGAAAGAGTTCTTGGTGGTAATATATACGTATATGTTTTGTTTTGTTTTGTTTTGTTTTGTTTCCCCCGTGGGCGGAGTGCCTAGAATGGGCAGAATAGGCAAGCTGATTGGGTTTGCAAACTAGTGCGAAGTAGGAGAGGCTGTTTTGAAAGATTCTGTGCTCCCTGCCAGAACTGCTTGAGCCCTTGCTGGACTTTTACAATGCAGATCTGGGTGCCAGAGAAGAATTCCGTGGCAGCGCTAGGGCCATAGAGGTAGTCCTGAGGAGCTGAAAGGACTAGGAACCTGCGGAGGTCTGGAATGCCTGCACTCGAAGCTCCCCAAGGGCCCAGAGCCTATCCAGGCTGACCGACCGACGGCCAGCGCTACCCCACCTCGGCCCTCCCAGGCTAAGGACTTTGCCTTCAAAGGCTATTAATTTCGCTGGAGTAGAGGACCCAGAGATTCTGGGGACAGTCAGTGCCTCCCAGTTCGGTTCACCTCCAGTGCAATGCCTGCTCCTTGAATAATAATAATTTAAAAAAATCCTCGGGAAGGGATGGTGAGGGCGCTCTCTGCTTTGTGCAGAACTACAATGAAATGATTGGCAAAGGTCACAGGGATTTGGGTCTAGCCTCTTACCACATCCTTTCCGTGTGTGTATATACCGCTGTCCCCGAGTGAGCTCACACCGGGAGCCATCTCCATGCCTTGGACAAGCACAGCTGGTGGAATGCCACTTGCGAGGATTGAGCTAGCTAGTGAGGGCCTGGGCGGCTGGGTTTCTGTTTTTTATCTCTCTGTGTGTATGCGTCTCTCTGTGTGTGTACGTGCGCGTGGGTTAGCGTGCAAACGTATGTGTGTAGATAGTTGTGTGTATATTATTACTCTTTACAAGAAACAAAAACTACAAACAAAAAAAATATCGCTAGACTATGTAGAGATCCAAAAATTATGCATTTGCTGTGGCTTTACTGCTAGCTCTCAAGTCCACATACCTGGTCCACGGACCTCATAACCAAGGAGCATACATTGCTGGATCGCAAGCACCCAATACCTAGCCACTGCCCTCCTGTACTACCTGGGAGCTTGTATGACCCGGCTAGCCGCCTAGCTGGGCCTCCAGGGGCAGCTGCAGAAGACAAAGCTTCGAACTACCTAAGGACCAGATACCCTAGTGCCCCCTGTGGAAGATGCCCTAGTATGGGCTGCCAGGACTCTGGTCTACCACACTGTGTCTCCCAGCTGCAGGTTCAAGAGCATGAGTTAATTAAAATCCCAGACCCTTTTTTCTTTTTGTGTGAAGCCTCTGCATTCTGTTGGTAATTGGGTTTTAGTTCTGGGACTTTTTCACACATTGAGATCATGTTTTACAACTGTTGGGGTTATTTGTTTGTTTGTTTGGATTTTTTTCTTTGCAGTTCAGCACTATGGTTCAAACCTGAGTTAACCCAAATATTTCTGCTGACTTTATAATTGTACAGTTTTGTATATTAAATGTTTTTGAAGTTATTAATTTAAAAAAAGATCATTTAGTTTATTCATTTAGTAACTGATGTATAATAAATGCTATTTTCATTAAGAGTTGCTTTTTCAACTATTTTATTCAAATTGCCTATTGCAGTTGCCAGCAATTATTTATTTTCAATAAATTCTGCATTGTGTTAAAAAGGAGACTTTCAAAGATGAGTTGGGTGTCAAAAAAGAAAACAATTCACTGTAATGTCTGATGTGAACAGTTTTAGTCAAGGGGTTTATATTGACACAATATTTTATTGTTGTAAAATATTAAAAACATTTAAATAAAACGTTTTTTCAAAAAAATCTGTGGTGTTTTTTTTTTTCTTTGTCCCCCCCCCCCTCCTCCTGCCTGTGTTGTGTGGTAGTGTGTGAAATGGAGCGTTTAAACAGGCACATTCCTGGGGAACAGTGCATCGGCTTTGCTTCAGGTTAGAAATCACTGGTCAATGTTTTGATTCTTGATTCTCTCCTTCTAACTTTTTGCCTCTCATATAGTTGCACACACAGCAGGGCTCCATTATCATGCCCGTACCTACACCCACACCCAGGCAAAACGCATTCCAAATGTTGGGAGACACGGTGGCTTAAGGAAGGACATTTATATCAAGAGGTGCTATCTTTTTAATGTTCTCCTAAAAGAGCGTTTGTCTCTCTAGTCCAAAAGATAGACTTCTCTGAAACTGTGCCTCCTGAAATTGACCCAGACTTTCCATGTGGCATTTATCTCATCTAGTTGCAACCACCTTTCTTCTTTTTCTTTTCCATTCCTGTTCAGTATCCTTCTGGTAGGTGAGCCCCAATTCTCCTGAAAAGGGTTAAGAAGGTGACTAGAAGTTTTAAAAATTTAAAAGAAGTGCTCTCCTTTTCCTTGGATGCAGAAATTCCAGTAAATTGTCCACTTTATGTTGCCCAATAAAGCTAAATTAATTCCTATTCATTCCTATCTGAGTTTGGGGGAAAGGAAAAATATTACAAAGAGACATTAGGAGGAAAAGCTTGATTCATCACTCTTCATCTTACTTCTACATACCATTTCACTTCTGTTATTTCATCACAAGCCCATAATTTTCCAACAGTAAAATTTTCCTCAATTCATACTCAGAAGTATTTTTTGTTAGACGAAAAGAAATTATTTACTCATTTTAATAGGTAATGCTTATCACATGTAATGTCTTCCATTTTTTAGATTGTCATCATTTATAGTTGCACAATTCACCATATATATGAGCATTATATATAAAATATACTACATGTTGTGTGTATACTCATAGGCATATTTCTCTTTATAAATAATAATGATTTTTATAGAGATGTATAAACAAACACAAAATTCATAGTCCTAAACCTGTTGGTTCTCTTTTGGTTCATACCAACTAACCTTTCTCTTTCAATATCATATAACTCTTTAAAAATTTTTTTCAATTACAGTTTATATTCAATATTATTTTGTATTAGTTTCAAGTGTATAGCATAGTGGTTAGACAATCATATGCTTTATAAGGTATTCCCCCTGATATTTCCAGTACCCAACTAACTTCATATATACCGTATTTTTCGGACCATAAGACACTCCGGACCATAAGACGCACCAGTTTTTAGAGAAGGGAAATGAAGAAAAAAAGATTCTGAAACAAATTGTGTCCTAAAATATTTTATGTGCATTAAAACCCAACATCACAGTCATAAACACATGTAATCAACCCTGTAAAGTAAACAGCAGCATGTAGAACCATTTTAGAGCCGGGCAAGCACACAGAGACTACACAGAGCCGGGCAAGTAAAAAAACTTTTTTTTTAAAGTATATGTGTAGGCTATATTTGGACCATAAGACGCAGGGACTTTTTCCCCCACTTCTGGGGGAAAAAAAGTGCGTCTTATGGTCCGAAAAATACGGTAACTATCACAATAATATTGACTATATTTTCTTTGCTGTACTTTACATCCCCAAGAATATTTTGTAACTAATAATAAATACTCCTCAATCCCTTCACCTTTTTCAACCAGTCCCTCAATTTCCTCCGCTCTGACAACTATAAGTCTGTTGTCTGTATCTATAAATTTGTCTTGAATTGATTATAAAGTTATAGCTGATCTTATAAAAGTATACAGAAACCAACTAGCAATGTATTCTGAACTCTTTAATGGAACCATAAGCAGATAATTTAAGAGATACTTAGATCAATATACATAAGCATTTATCACTTTCAGTATTTTTTTCTAGCTATTACTGAAATATATATTTTATACATATTTATGAGACATTTCCTTTTCGGCCTCACTTATTTTTCTTAAAATATAAACAAAGTCCAGTTGGCTTTTATGATGACTGCCTAACCAACCTCATTTTATCAGTAGAATTACATTTTCATTAAAATTTAGGATATGTGGTGCCTCTGCCTTAGACTTTCTTTGTATTGAGGTTGCCACCACCTCAATCCCAACCAAGGCCTTTGTAGGAGAGGCGACTTTAACCTGTTTCTCTCAGGTCCAGGTAACAGAGGCTCCCTCTCCCATAACAATAATTATTTACCTTATTGGATGGGGTAAAAGTAAAACAGCTCCACTTTTATCACCTAACAGAGCAACACAAAAGGAATATATTGAGGGGTGGGGTGAGATGTGAAAAGAGTAAGCATTAAGGTGCTACAGATATGTAAACAAAGTCACATATGCAAATCAAATATATATTTTTATGTAAACAGACATGAATTGATAATCTATATGTCTGTGACATTATATATGCATAACAAAAAGGAAATGAATTATTAAATTCCAGCAGGTAGCCTTCTAACAAGAAAAGAAATCTTATGCCTGGAAATTGGTTTCTTATCTTTAAAAAGAAAAGTTTAGGGGAAACCACGGACTAAATTAGTACAGGAACTGTGTTTGTCTTTCATAAAATAAAACACTGTTTCCCTTGTAAGTATTTAACATTTAGATGTTTCTTGTGCTCCCTAGTCAGGATGCTGCTGTTGCTTTAATTGTCCATAGGCTATAAGTAGTCTTAACATAAATTTCTATTTTTATTTAAATTATATTTTTAGTAAGAAGGGAAGAGTTAAAAGGGGAATGAAGAAGTATGAAATTATTAGAGGTTAAGACAGAGTTTTCCAAAGAAAAGAATGTATTTTTCCACCTGTCAGATCTTTATAAAGATATGTTTGGAACCTCAGAATTGAGATATTATATCTATGATATGATATGTAAAAATCCACACATGTGACCCTTTCAAAAAAGTCTTAAAAGGAAGAAAGAATAACAATGAAAAACAATACCATGTAAATTGATATCCCTCACACTCACCCATTCTGTAAAATAAAAAAGATAGAACACTTTTTATACATGTCCCAGATAGTAGTTTTAAAAATAACAATCTTCCAATTTACACACACACACACACAAACACACACACACACACACACACACACACACACACACACATATATATATATATATATACATATATATATATGTATGTATGTATATATATATAAATTTTTAAAACATTATTAAAACTGAATATAAAATATATTTAAAATCAATTAAGGTGTTTTTTCATGAGATCAAATAAATGTATCTTTTCTTAAGAGCACTTCTGATAGAACATTTCCAACATTAGGAAATTATTTAAAAGAATAAAGTTTCAAAAACAAATTTCAGTTAACTTCTATTATATCTAAAAGGTAGGGGTTAGAGTAACACATACAAGGACTTCAACTATTGTTTCTGTAAAGGGAACTCACAAAAATTAAACTCTTGTGCCTTCCGGTGAAAAATGCATTAAATCACTATGCATTATTTCATAAACATGAGTATAGATCATAATCATTCACACATGATCTAACTCACTGGCTAGAAAACTAGGATCTCTTTATAATACTATTTGTTATCAATGAGCATTTAATATAAGGTCAGTTCATTTTGGATGGCTTCCAAGGGGGCTTGTTTACTCAACTTTCAAAGGGGCCTTGTGTGAGGTGACTTCAATCTCTAAGGGAGGAAATCACAGGACAATTTGCTTTTGGGTGAAACTCTAAGTATTTAATATATATGATATATATGTGTAGACACATATCAACAACTGTAAACATGCTCCCTCTTCCCCCTCTCTTTATCCCTGCCCTGGCACAAAGACAGGGTGATTTAACAGAAAACAGATTGTCCTCAAAGAAAGAAAAGAAATCAACTCATTGGCCAATTCATTAGGTATGTCTTTTCATCTCTCCAGCTACTTACACTGAGTCCACAGTATTCTGGCATAGTCAATTGAAAAAAAAAAATATCAGTCTATAAAACTCTTGTTTTATCTGAATAATGTTAACAAAAATACAAAACAAAACAGTTTGAGTTATCTTCCCCCAAATTCTTGACACACACACTGAACTGACTGCTTGCATTGTCATCTTGTAACCAATTTCTGTTATATATCAGCATTGATTCTTGAGATGGGGTTCATATAAACATTTTTAATATTAATTTTTTTCTTGTGTTTTCAGTTATTTTTTATATACTGGAAAATGTCTTAATAATATGGCTGATTATCTCCCAGATATTACCAGATCAAAGACTAGCTTTTGCTCTTCTACCTTCTTTTTTACAGTCAGGGTAAATCCTGCTATAAAAGTGAACATGTAAACTGGGTTTTAGTATATCTCTCCCCACCCCCCAGATCAATATTAAAAATCATTTTTCCCCACAGAATTTATATCTGGTTAAGGATTTTCCCTTACCTAATACTTGCAATCTGAATACAGAAAATCACATACATATACATACCACCTGCTAAGATTACTACTTGAGTTCATATTTTTAAATCACTGAAAATAGAGGGCTATGTACAAAGGTAGTAGTTTACTGGACTTCAAATGAAACATAATTCCCAACTGCAGACAAAAAGCTACCTGGGGCTCTCGTTGGTGTGGCTCAGTTGGTTGGAGCATCATCTCTTGCAAAGGGTCAGGAGTTCAATTCAGTCAGGGCACTTGCCCAGGCTGGTCAGGGTAC